GGATTTGAGGATGCCTTTTTTTTCTTTCACGGGACACAGACTTGAAGGGTGTTGGCACATATTACATATCACATCTATTAATGCATGCCACATATATTAATAGATACAAGTGCTTGAGTTGATGAATGAATAACTTCCACTACCTGGCCTTAGTTTTCAGTTCTGGTTGATCCAGTATTTTTAAATTATTCCAGTGGTTTGCTGTATGTTCTTCAACAAAACCCTCTGGAGTTTTCTGTCTGGATGTGTTCCTCCTGTGGTCTGCTGCTCCATACCAATCCTGTCCAATCTGCCTGTTCAGGGATACATGAACTGTGCCTTCTGTCACTCGCTCTGTGCTGTTCCTGAACACGCCTGACACTGGCACTGGGGGCCACAGCCACTGCAATCCCACAGGATTTAAAGGAACTCTGTTGTGCAAATGCCTGCAGTTATTTATACAATTACAGGGAAGTAACTGATTGTAGGGGACGTTTCTCAAACTCTGATATGACCCACTTGGAAGATCCAGATGTGGTCGGCACTTCCAGCTGTGTTCTGTTCCCAACCTTTCTGTCTCGCGGTGCTCATGATGTGTGAGGCACACGGAAGGCATTGCTGTAGTCGGTCACTTCTTGTTTTTTACTCCATTTCTCCTCCTGGTATTAGTTCTGAAGATGCTATTTTGATCTGTTTGTAAATTACTTTGTATTTTATGCATGTACTGTACTTTGATTCATTATTTTTTTAGATTGATTTAAAATATATTCATCCATGATTCTAATAAAGAATTACAGGGGACAACTCACTGTGGTGTTGGGTGCACTTTTTGGGAGAATTGGGATTTGACCTGAAGGTTTTAGCTTATGAGCTTCTTGAAAGAGGCAGTGAGAAGACACTGAAGTGGAAGTGTCCCTGGAAAAGGATCTGAAAGGGTTGTGTAGCACAGTTGCCTTCCCTGGGAGCAGCTCTGAGCTTCCTGGGGCTGCTGCAGTTTGTAGCCAGGGCACTTTGGCAGCTTCAGGAAGCTTTGAAGCTTAGAAAATTCTGTGGGTTCACTCTACTCAAACCTCTGAATAACTTTTACAAACCTGTTTTTTTTTTTCCCCATGTTGCCACGAGGAAGAAAATCTGGAGGGAGACGAAGTCCTGCCTTCTGCAGCAGGTGATGGAAGCTTTGGATCATGCTGAGGTGTCCTGATGAAAGGTGCCCCTGAGCACCAACGGGGCAGCACTGGTGGCCCTGGGGACTGCTCTGAGGGTGAGCTGTGAGCCCAGCCCCTCACTCACTGCAGGAGCTGTTCTTGCAGCACATTCTCTGCCCATGCTGGAGCAGATTTTGGAATTAATTGATTTCCTTTGGCAGACATGTTCTAAATTTGTCAGCTGGAAATGCAGGATGAGTTTCACTCTGCTTCCTTTCCTCATTCATATACACAGGTGATTTGACTCTGCTGTCACATCAGTCTGGATTTTGTGTGGTTTTAGGCAAAACTCTTCCTCCTGCAGCAGATGGAATTGCAGTGCAGCTGGTGGGAGCACAAACCACTGTGGGAGGCTGAGTACTTCTAAAGCAAACTCCAGTGGGGTGTGTACAGAAAAGGAACTTCCCACCTGGGAAATCCTTTGCCACTTGGTCACCAAGTGTCCACCCAAAGGCCTGGGAACCTGGGAGTGGCCCAGGGCAGTGTCACCACACGTGGTGGGCATGCAGGGGCTCTTCCAGCTGGGATTGAGCATTCCCAGGAGTCTCACTGAGCTCAGACTGCTGAGGAACTGGGAGAAGGGTGTGCAGAGCCACTGACCTTTGGTTTATTCCAGCTTGGAATGGCAGCACTGGGTTTTCCTGTTCTGGGGGTCTGTGCTGTGTTTCCCTAAGGATTGCAGGGACCTGGCTGCAGATCCTGGCCTGGGCTGGGTGACACTCCTGGGACAGGAAGGTGCTTCCAGAGGTGTTTGGGAGAAACAATGCAAGTTGTTATTTCATCTGAATGCTTTCCAATGGGGGATTGTCCTGTTCAGCTGCTGATTAATCCTTCTGTTCCATAATTGGCACTACTTGTGTACTGAAGTGTCTCCTCCCTGCTAATGGGAGACAACTGATGGTAACAGACACTGCTTTGGGCCCTGGAAGGAGCTTTCTGAGATTCTGGGAATTATGTATAATGCTTCCAAAAGCTTTTTCTGTCGTCTACATATTTGAAAGCCCCAACTTTTAACAATTATTCAGTGAGCATCAGTGGTTCCTGTCTTTGATGGGAGTTGAGGTTCTGACTCTTAAGCAGAAAGGACGTGGAATTGTTCTGATTTAAAGACATTTTTATTAAGCTAGAATTACTTATTCTATAAATTGAGACCTGATGAATTTCCAGCCTTAAATAGCTTATTGAGTGTGGCTTGTCAAATAAGAAGATTACATGCTGGGCTTTAGTTAACAAGATTTTTAGAAATATGAAGCACAAATATTGAAAAGCTTCAGCACGTAGCAGTGGCTGCATTGCCTGGAACTCATTAATTCTGAAGGTGTTTCCACTGCAAATCTGTGATTTTTTTTCACTGGGCTCCCTGGGAGCTGCTGGGCTGCCTCGTGTCCTGTCCCATGGCTGCTGGGTGACCGTGGGTCACCAAGTGTCCACCCAAAGGCCTGGGAACCTGGGAGTGGCCCAGGGCAGTGTCACCACACGTGGTGGGCATGCAGGGGCTCTTCCAGCTGGGATTGAGCATTCCCAGGAGTCTCACTGAGCTCAGACTGCTGAGGAACTGGGAGAAGGGTGTGCAGAGCCGCTGACCTTTGGTTTATTCCAGCTTGGAATGGCAGCACTGGGTTTTCTGAGCCATCCTGTCAGTTCTGTCCTAGCCTGGTGCCTGGGGGCTTTTGGCTGAGGGGAGCAGCCACATCACCTGGAGAGCTTGGATCTGTGCAGGGCTGGAAGTTTGGCTCTGCGAATGAGTACGTTGGAGAGCTACACATTGAGAGAAATTCAATTTATTTTGTACAAGGTAGGATACCTTTGCACAGTGAACAAATATATTACAAATCTGTCTTGCCTTAAAAAAGTATTGCCATTTTGGTGCCTGTTTCCTAAGCTAACGCTGATATACAAGAAGGTACTTATTTTTGTTGGTTTTGTTGTTTTTTTTTTTCTTCCTGTTAAGCTCTATGCACATCATTGCATTTGGTTTCAAAATCCTGCTTTGAAAAAAACCAAACCAAACAACTGAGCACATCTCTGCTCTCTGGAGTCTCATTGCAAACTACAGCAACACACAAACGTGGGTCAGACCAGCAGCTCAGGCTGCTTGTGCTGGGTGCCAAGGTGGGTCTTAACAAGAGTATTCCTCATCCAACCGCCTTTCTCTTGGTATTTTTGAGGTAAATCTTTCTATTAATGTACGCAAAATATATTCCTACTGGGCCTACAAAATAATTGTTTCCTTACATCTCAAATAAGGCTTTCCTGGAAAACAAAATTGCTATTGCTGATCAGCCACGGCCCCCATGCACACATGCAGCATTCGGGAAACCTCGTGGGCAGGATCCTGCTCTGGGAGCCTGGGGGTGTCCTGGGGGTGTCCAGGCTCAGACTGGGGGTTCAGAGCCAGCCTGACCACCTGGAGAGTCCTGGCTCCAAGGGGAGAGGCTCCCAGGGGCAGAATGCCCAGAGCCAGGGGCTGTGATCCCAGGGGTGAGGGCTGAGCCCATCTGGGGACATGTGGGGACACATCTGGGTCCCACCACGGTGCTCCAAGGATCCAGGAGTATTCCCAGAGCTGGGACCCAGCTCCTGCCCCCGAGCTGGAGGGCTCCTCTTGCCAGTCCTGAGCCCTGCAGGTCACTCCTGGGATCGTGCTGGGAGCAAACCCACGGGGCTGGTGTCATCCTCCTCTGCTTCCATCAGACTGGCAAATGTGCAACAAAATATTTTTTATATTTAAAAGGCAATCAACTTGCTACTTCCACGTTTGCCTAATAAAATTACATACTTAGAGTCAATACTACTTCATGCTCAAATCTACAAGGAACTAACGGCAAGTACTCTACTTTCTAGGTCAATAGAGATTATAAATTAAAAAAAATATCATGGTGGCTCAGTCCAAAATTTTACCATGGGTCACACCCTTGATAATTACTTCACAAACAGCTGCTGAAAAAGAAAACCCAGTTTCAGCTCCATTTAATGACATTTCAGGTAGAATCATCAATGGATAAAGTTGCACTACATGGTAATGCACATCAGATTAAGAGGTGTCATCAGTGGCATGCTGATAGTGAATCATGAGGAGATGGTTTGGGAAGATGGGAGAGAGAAGCCGATGTGGCTCAGCTTTGAGAAAGGAAATGAAACCAGGGCTGGTCTGTGCAAACCTGCAACGTCCCGTGCAAACCTGCAACGTCCAGGGCAGGAATTGGAGGGGCAGCAGTTTAAACTGCCTGACAGATCTGCTGGATTTAGCTACCAAAAGAGAAGCTGCATAAGGAGAATGAAAGCCTACCTGTGCCAATCAACGTTAAAAGTGTGGTAAGTGAGTGTGAGACTCATTGTGGAAACTCCATTCATTAGCAAAGATCAGGGGATGTTTGGAAAGATTAAAAACTGCACAGAAAGTGTCTGTGTTAATATTCCTCAACTCAAATTCTCTGGTACTGAATATAGAGATGACAATCTCAATGCTAATTACCAAGCATGATCTGCACAGGTTGCACATGGTGATGGCAGTAAATGAGCTTTCCAGACAGTGACATGACAAGTTTCCCTGCTCTCATTCAGAAAAATGTCCATTCCCATGACAAAGATGAAAATAAATTCCAGCGTATTCCTAGTCACCTCATTCCTAACAGTAAAATCTTGCTGCAGTCAGTAGAAATGTACATCCTGAAGTCCTTCTACTTAGCATGTTTTTGTGGTTTATTTTACAGCAAAGCCAGGGTTAGAACACGCCACGGAGAGTTTTTGCCTGGAGCATGAAGACACCTTCCTGGGGTGATGTGCTCCAGCCCCATGTGGAGGAGGCTCTCGTTAGTTCCAGGTACCCATACAAAAATGTCTTTATAAATAACATCATGCAGCAGCAGTTGGCCCAAGCTGATGTCGTGTTAAGTCCTTGCCAGTCCGCAGGAAAGGAAGGAATGGCTTCTCCTCTGCTTCCTCCCAGTCTGTGTTGGCAGCACAGTGCCAGTGAAGTCCATCCCTCTAGGACTGCTTGTCCCAAGAAGGCCCGTGCGTGGGGCTGTGCCGGACGGGGAGCAGGTCGTAGTGACCAGGAATGTGACTGTTCCTAGGCAGGTCATACGGGTTCTGAAGGTAGCTGGCACTCCGACTGCGGGTGTCTTGGACTATGCTGACAGTGGGCTCTGGGGGAGCAAGGAGAACTGGGTTGTGGTGACCAGCAGCAGTCCCAAAACTCCTGATCCTCCTGGGTCCCTTCCAACTCAGGACATCCACCACTGTGGCTCAGCTCCCCAAACCAACACACAATGCTCAGCCCTTCCCCCTGTGCCACACCAAGCCCAGGATCCGTGTGCCAGGACAGGGGAAAACCAGCACTTCCACCAACCCCCTGTGCCACCCACTGCTTACCAACTTCGTAGATGTTTTTATTGGCTGTTGATGAAGTTGGCATTTCGGAATACGGGGACTCCCTGTGACCAGGTGATTTCATTTCCACGTAGCTGCTCTCGGAGTGTTTGCAGGTTAAAATGGGGGGGTCTTTGATGGTGGCGTATGGGTTTTCACTGCTGTTCAGGGAACAAGTGCTGGAGCTGCACACAGATTCTTTCATATAATCTGCAAAACAAGAGCGGAGTGGGTGCGTTAGAGTCATTAGCTTAATTAGGTTAATTACAACTGAGCCTCTGCAGGAAGGCTGGGGGGGCACAAGGGGCAGGGGATAAGGAAGATCCTTGAAGCCTCCAGCACAGACACCCGGTGCTTGTGCTCTGGGTGTTCCAGACCATTGCATCCACCACTCACTGGCAGGAAAGAAATGAAAACCTGCTCAGTACTGAAGGTTTTCCTGTGAGAGCTCCTAGCTGCCGTTTACTGCAATATTTAATTTTGAGGTGGCAATCCTTTCCCTCCCTCCCCTCATTCCTACGGAGCCGTGTTCATCCCGCGGGCAGGGCTCTGCAGGCAGGAGCTGCTCTGGGAGCTGGGCTGCTCAGCCAGCTGCAGGGGCTGCGCTGGAGTGCACGACACTGCCACAGGCTCTGAACTGCACCAGTGCAGCCTCTGCATGTGCAGCTCCTGCCGGTTTTGGGGTTATCCAGCATCCTACAGTTGGGGAATGCTTGGGTTTCCACAGAGGGGAACAAGCCTCCATCTGAGCCTCACTTCTGCTCTGCTTTTTTTCCCCCCTTTGCTGTAGACATCTCCTGCTCCTCTCCCCTGGGCTGGAGAGGAGGTGACAGAGGCACTGCTTGGCATGAGAGCTGTGACCACCGGCCTGCCCGCTCGGTGACCCTGGCTGGGATAGACCAGCCTGCTGCAAGGTACAGTGCCAGTCTTGCTTTAAAAATAAAAAAAAACAATAGAGAATAAATAGGTCTTAACATTGACATTCAAGAACGTGCCATTGCTGCTGTGTGCATCCTGCTGGGCAGTGCCAGTAATTTAGAATTAGAGCGATGCAATGAAAGATGAGGCATTTTCTTGTGCTGGGTTACAGTACAAAGGCAGATCCTGGTATATATGAAATACTCCCGGTGAAATAGGGGGACTTGCAAAATAGCTGCAATCCCAGCTGCCCCCGCTGTCTAGTATGGGAGACAAAAAGAGAAATTCAGGTTAAGAAATAGACAGACAACATGACATCACTTCTCCAAACCTCGGCTCTGAGCCTGCCAGCCCCATCCTGCTCCCTCACGTGCCAGGTTTGCTCCACTGTGAGTGACTGTCCCTCCTTCAGCTCTGGGGTTGTGTCTGTGTCTCTGTGTCCATCACCCCTGGCCTGGTGCCCCTGGTCCTGGTTCAGCCCTGAGGGAGGTGCCAGGTGTTGCCTTTCTGGGCTCTGATTTCAGTGACACCAACAAGTCTGGAGAGCCCTCAGCTCCCAGGGTCAGTGAAAGCAGCTCACTGGGAAGCTCCACTGCACACAAATAGCTGGGACCATCAGGGCTGGGGAGGCTGGCAGAGGCCTGGCACCGGTGCAATGTTTATTTAGTTAGAAAACTTAGAAACTCCTTGTCCGACATCATCCTGGGTGAGATGAGCAGTGCCTTTGCTTCCAAGTGAAACATGCCTGGTTTGGTAGATGACAGGAGATGGGAACCAAAGCAACAGTGACATTCCCTGGCTGTTGGCTGCAGGGTTTGTCCCTGCAGTGTCACCAACCCCAGCCCAGTACAAGTGAGTGGAAAACTGCCCCATCCCATCCTTCTACAGAGAGATGGGGCAGTCCTGTGAGACCCAAGGCTTCTGCACATGAGTGAGCTCAATGTTGGCTTTTCCTGTGTATGTGACTTAAATCCAGGTGCCCCAGTCTGGGATCTGTTGGTGTTAGAGGTGAGGAAACCATAGACAGACAAATGAAAGGCTCAGCTCCACCTGCCAGCAGCTTACAGCTCCTGGGGCTACTCCAGGAGATAGAGCTCATTAGGAGAGCCAGCTCTGCATTTTGGGGTGAGGGACATGAAGATTATCATCAACTTGGTTAGGAGAGCCTGGGCAGCCTCCAATGAGCCAGCTCTGCATTTTGGGGTGAGGGACATGAAGATTATCATCAACTTGCTTCTCCATTTCAAGCAGTGCTGCTGAGCAGATGGTCACAGGGTGAAAAGCAGGATTCCCTCTGTGCCCCAAGAGCCCCCTGCAAAGTGTTCTCTGTCACACCATGGCTGGGAGGGAACAAATCAAACAAGAGCTGGGTGTAGATTCAGGAAATGTTGATTATAAAGGACTGCTGACTGCTACAGCAAAGAGCAGAGTGAGAATTCCTCCTCCTGCAGAGCTGCAGCTGCAGGTAAATATCTGTGTGGTTTGTTTATAGAATTGGGCACATTGGAGCTGGCAAAGGCAGAAATCCCAGCACATCAGCTGTTTTATTTCATCCAGCTCAGCTACTTTCATCTCCCTAAGCTAAAATCCACCTGTACTGCAGTTAGGGCTGACATTACCTCCCAGGCAGGTGTCCCTCAGCCCTTCCCAGGACCAGTTGGAAGAGATCAGTGAATGCCACTTGGGCTGCCCAGACTTGTTTGGCCTCTCCCAGGAATTGCCTTTTCCCAGGAGATATTGAGAAACAGCGTGCCTGAGAGCCCATCCTGCTGACGTAAACAGAGCTCTGTGTCTGCCTGGGATCAGACCCTTGCTTTGGACACAATATATTTTATGGAGCACCAGGGGATTCTGGGATTCTGGGTACACCAGGGAGTCATTAGCCCTCAAGAAATATTACATGCAAGATCATGGAGGATTTAACTCTGAAGGCTGTAGAGTTATTTTTTGTTAAGATAATTTGTGGATAGTTAAGAAGTCTGGCATTAATTGTAAAATTTTGTTTCATGAATTAATTTAAGCAGAACAAACATATTTAGAGATTTTCAGCCCATGGTGCTGCAGCCATGTGTGAGCCCTGGCTGCTCTGCCTCCTCATCCCTCCCTGCCACAGGCTCCAGCTCTCATGGAGGTGAAAGCTCTGCCCCACAATGCTGGGGCTCACTGGAAGCACTCAATCAGCTGGACTTCTAGAGAAATATTGGGAATATGCTCTAATTTTGAAGTCTCTGCCTTCTGTGTTGCCTGGATACCAATCACCAGACCTTTGGAGGGTTTATTTTTGTTAGCAGGGACTGGAAATGTCCCTCCCCCAGACTGGGTTCCTCTCTTCTATCCTGAATTTCCCCTGGCATGCTGCAGACAAGCCTTGGATCCCCCAGCCGAGGTGGAAGTGCTGAGGGAGGTGCTGTGCCCCGGTAGGTGCTCTCCTGTTTAACCCCTGCAGGGATGAAGTGCCTGTGCTGGCTGCTGTCCCTAACCTGGCCAGCCCTGGCTGCTGCAGGGACAGTGACACAGCAAGGGCCCACTGCTGCTTCTCAGAGGGCCACAGGAGTGGGGACACATCCTGTACAACAACCAGGGGAGCCTCTCTGAGCCCAGCCCTGCACCCCTGGGATCAGTGCTTCTCTCTGCTGGGCTTTTCCTGGCTCTTCTGCAAAGCATGGGTGTTCTTCCTTAAAATGGTCGTGCCTGAGGTCACATCATTCCATCAGTGCAGGACTCTTCATTTAAAATCCAAACCTCTAAAAACAGAAGGACTCAGCTGAAAGGAAGAGCTCAGGAATGACATCACTGAGCACCATGCACAGGAAAGAAACTGCTCAGAAACCTGCTCTGAAAACCCTCGTGCCTGGTGAGCCCCTGTCACCAGGTGCCACAGGGCTGGCACTGTGACAGCCAGCCCCCCTCTGCTGCTCTCAGACACTGGCCCTGACACCTGGCAGCCCCAGATCTCTGTGCCCGACCCCTGGAGCTCCACAGCAGCTCAGCCACCACACCCCTGGTGCCAGGGGACCCTCTGCTGGTGCCCTGCTCTGGGCACAGCCCCCAGCTCTGGTCTCCTCAGAGAACTGGGGCAGCAGGAGGTGGCCCAGGTTCTCCACAGCCTGGCCTCAGCCTCAAGCCCCTGTGCCCCTCTCTGCAGGGCTCTGTCTGGTCCAGGGGCACCAGAGATCACTTCCAACTGCAGGACAGGCTGTCCCCAGTTAGACCACACTGGTGGGAAAAGACATGGTTTAAATTGGATGAAAGTAGCTAAAAACCAGGCACCTGCCTGCCAAGGCTTTTTGCTGACAGAATCCAATTGTTTGGGACTGGGAGTTCTTCCTCTCCATTTTGTGAGGAATGCGGTGAGTCAGGGCCTGGCAGGGCAAGGAGAGCTCACTCTGAGCATTGGGCACATTCCCAGCTCCTCCTGGGAGGAGACTCCCCTGGGATGGGGGTGCCCAGCTGCCAGGGAGCCTGAGCCCAGGGATGGACCTTCAGAGGGGCCTTGGGAGCCTTCAGCCTGCTTCTGAGAAGGTAAGGCAGCTTCTGAAAGGCAGCTGCTTCTGAGAGCCCTCAGCTCCTAAGTGCCTGCAGCTGAGCTCCCAAACATCCCTGGGAAGCCAGGTGTGCCCCTGTGCCCTGCCCCTGCCAGTGCAAGCCCTGCCTGTCTGAGGCCACAAAGAAATCCAGCTGTGGCTTCTGAGCCTGATTTTTCAATTTATAAAGAGATAAACATGTAAAGGAAATGGTTCAGATGCTAAAAATTAAAGAAAATATGTAGCAGCTGAAAATGCATTTCACAGTTCTCTGTCACTGTGGTTCTTTTCCTCTGCCCCACTGGTCCCCCTCTGTGTGGATGGGAGTTCCTGCTGCATGTGCTTAAGGTACCTTTAAACTTTGTAAACACAGTAAGTTTGAGCTAATGAAGTTAATGGCTCCATGTAAAGGGAACAAATAGCTCTATTATAATAAGATTTTTCTTTTTGGAAAAGGGAATTATTGAAGTAGCTGAAACCAGTGGATTGAGTATTTTGTATCTCATAAATCATATATATCATATACATATATAATCCATTCAATATTTTTACTTTAGCTTTATCAACAAAGACTTGGTTGTTGGTTCTTGGTTTCCTTTGGTGATTCTGTGTGGCAAGGTGATGTTCTACAAATATTGCATCCCTGTCTTTTGAAAACAGCAGTTACAAAGTGGTTATTGATCTCTAGGCCTGGCTATAAGCTGGTTAATGCTTTTTATGTGGAATAGCTTTTGATATTCCTCGTTGGCTGAGCCCAAGGTGTGGCTGTGGAACACCTGAGCCATGGCAGAGCAGGGGCTGTGGCACAGCCCTGCTGTCCCCTGGCTCAGCCAGCACCAGCCCCAGGGCACTGCAGGAAGAGGCTGTGTGGTGTTTCCCTCCTCGGCTCCCTGAGGGACATTCCCAGCCCTAATTCACATCCAGGACCTCGGCCTGAAAGCTGCCTATTCCCCAGGAGACAGATTTCTTGCTCCATCTTCTGGAGCACAAGCTCAGTGAGCTAAACCCCAGCCCAGTCTGCCAGGAGCTGTGGGAACCACTGTGCCAAGCGTTCCCGTGCTCCAGATGGAACTGGAATATTGAGAATGTGAACGTGGAGGAAAGTGAAATGTAAAACCACTGGGCCCTGTGCTCGTGACTCATCTGAGATCCTGTTTTAGACCTGCCCTGGAGCCAGTGCCCACAAGTGCCAGTGTGAGGGGACCTCGGCCTCAGGGAGGGCTCTTCTCCAGCTCTGCTCTAAATCCCTCTCAGCAGAGGGCACGAGCAGGGGCAGCTTCTTTCCTGGGGTTTTCTTTTAGCTCAGCACGGCCAGGAGCCAAGAGCGGGGAAAGAGCACTGTGCCACCAGCAGCTCCCCCAGAGCCCGTGTGGCCCGTGGGTCCTACCTGAGTGTGCCCTGGCCAGCCCTGAGCTGAGCCCTCCCTTTCTCCCTGTGCTGCAGAGCCCTGGGAAGCTTTGCATCCATCCCTCATGGGCCAGGAGTGCTGGGAGCCAGGCAGGCAGCTCGTGTGGGTGTGGCTCTGTCCCTCCCTGCCGGGCTCCTATCTCACCTCTTCTAGGACACCCTCCTCACACCTGGGCAGGGTTCTGCAGCTCTGGATACCATACCTTTGAAGCTTTTTTCCATTATGTATGTGTTCTGACGTCTATCCATCCCACAAGCACCTGCATAAAAATGATATATAATGGAAAACAAATAAATATTTATGTAAATTGGATTGCTTTGACTACTGAGCAGCATATATTCTTCTCTCTAAATTGTACATCAAGGCCCTCATTTAGCGAGGCTCTTAAGCACATCCTCAGCTGTAAGCACACACTCAGCTCCAGTGGGGAGTCCGTGCACGCCTGGAATTATGCGTGTGCTTAAGAGTTTCCCTGGAAGGGAGAGCTCTCTGCAGCAGGGTTACCAAGAACTGCCATCCATCAGGAGATCAGGATAAAAACCATCTGCTGAGACATTCATTACTGGAACGTGTGAAAGAAGCCTAAAACATGCCCTTTCAAATCTGAGTCTGCAGGTTGCGTTGCAGCACTCTGTGACTAATTTTAGGCTTTGTTTTGTTTGTGGAGAGTGTACTATTTAACTCACAGTCTTAGACTCTAAGGTGTGCACAATCTTCTTAAATTACCTACTATCACTTTGCTCATGAATTTGCACAGTTCAGTGACTGATGTGACAACAGTCCCTAAGTGACCCCTGTGCCCTGACAGCGCAGCACCAGGAGCAGAGCTGACAGCCAACAATTCTGCCTTGTGCAGCTCCAGAGGAACTTGCTGTTCCTCACAGAAGCTGAGACAGAAGGGGATGGGGACCTTTTCCATTTTTATTCCTGCAAATTACCCTAGATATCAATCAAAAGGAAAATCTAATGTAAGCCTTTAAATCTTTTTAGCTATAGAGTCTGGTATTTCCTATTGACTGGGACAATCAATACAGATTTGGTTACTGAGAAACGTCCTTGTGGCTTATGGGATTCCCAGGCAAGTAACTCAGTTACACTGGGAAAAGAGCCCCACAAACGGTGTGTCCCAGCTATTTGTCCTTGTGTGTCCTCTGGTCTCTGCAGAAAAGTTGTCGTGGCCATGGGCAATGCTGTACCAGCCCCTTTTAGATGACAGCTTCATTTTTTTTTTTTTTTTGCTAAATAAGGGAAATTACTAAATTAGACAATAAATGTGTTACTGGCACATCAAAGACAAACCAACCCTTTGCTCTGGTTCTCAGTGCCCATCCCTGAGCACAGGAAAGGGGCTGGTGGCACCCAGTTGCCTCTCTGGGATGGGCTCTTCTGGCCATGAGTGATCCCCAGTCCATCTGAGCACCTTCTGCTTTGTTGTGCACCACGAGCCAGTCCCACACTCACCCTGCTGCAGAGGGCAAGGCACTCTGGGAGCTCTGGGCAGCTCTGTCCCAGAGCAGGGTGAGCTCTGTGCTCTTTCCCTGCCGTGTTCTCAGTCAGAGCCAGGAGGATGGAGCCAATTCATCCCTTGGCCCACAGCCACAGGGCTGGGGCTCCCCAAGGCCAGCCCTGGGGATCACACATCCTCCTCCTGCCAGGGCTGAGCAAATCTCCAAGGGCAGCAGTGTCCAAGCAGCATTTGGAGCTCGCCCCACAAAGCAAGGCTGGGAGGAGCACTGGAGAGCTCCCAGCTGGGGTCCCCAGGGGAAGGGGCTGTGCCCAGGGGGAGGCAGTGGCAGGGAACAAAGGGACCCAGGCTGAGCCATGGGGAGGTGCATTGCCCTTGGGAGGGCCATACAACCCCACAAAGCCCTTCCCAACCAAAAATTCCCATAATTCTTCCTTTAGTTTTCTCTTTTATCTGTTATAATAGTGTGGGTTTATGACCCATTTTTTTGTATTCACTCAGTTCCTTGGGAGGTGAAATGAATAATAGACACATTATTTTTTAAACTGCAAAAGTAGTTAATGTGGAAAAGTCCTAAACCAGTCAGGGATCTGGCACTTCAGGAAAGTCCAGGTTTAAGTTTGAAGTTAAATTATCTGCTGGGGTGAAATCAGAGTCTCAGCTGGAAATAGTTTTCCACACCTTTTGGCTTTGAGAAAAAAGTGAAGTCAGCTGTGAATCAAACTTATAGCCTTTGGTCCTCTGGAATAAATGCAGCTTTGAGTCACTCACGATGTGCTGCAAATCCCACTTTAATGTCTGCATCCAGGACTGCTGTTAAAAAAGCATCAGAGATAAACCCAGCCCTGCCTGCAGCCGCTGTGGCCAGTGCTCCAGAAATGAGACAAGAACCTTTCCTGAGCTCAGGTCAGTGTTTGGGAGTTTTCACCTGCTTGGGATGGGAGCTGGAAGCTGGGCTCTGCCCCTGCCCAGTGCAGACTGGACTAGAGCAAGAGGGATTACTCACAGGGCAAACAATTCCAGTCCTGCAACACAAGAGAGAGAAAATGCAAGGACAAGCCACTCCCTGAAACAAGGACCAGGCTGCTTTGGGCAGGCAGTGACACACAGGAAGGTGACAAAGCTTCTTCTTGGCACCACAGAGTTCCCAAACTCTGATGTCTCAAGTCCACATCCATGGGAATTATTTGTGCTCCTCCCCAGACTCCTCTGAACACAATCAGCTCTCTGAAAACCTGGAATTTGAAGCTCACAAACAAATGTGCAGCAGTAAAAGTACAGCTTTGTCCTTGCATTTCCCATTTGGAAAGAACATGAACTTTGCAAACAAAGTCCTGCTAAACAGGTAAAACACCTGCAGTCTGGTAAGATCCACTGCAATTAAGAACATCCTTATCACTGCAGGTTTGAGGAGATGAGTGTTCAAGTTAATTTTGGTGTGGATATTCTTACAATTTCCTTTCCCCAGCTCTAATTCACGTTTAGGACACCTGCAGTTTCTAACAGGGCTGTAGACATTTCTGGAGCCTGGTTCTCCTCATCTGCTGGCTCCATCCTTTGGGATCACCTGAGGAGTCACTGGCTGAGGAACCAGTGGAGACTTTCCATCCATTCCAGACTTTCTCTTCCATTTCCCTCTCTCTTCTTGGCTCCCTCCCACATCTGCTGTCTGTGACAATTCATGGGGTCACAGCAGAGGAGTTGGGCAGTGTCCACTGCTATTTTTAACTTTTTAACTGAATCCAGTCCTGCCCAAGGTTTGGCTGCTCTTCCAACACATGAGTTGGAGCATCTATGTTATCAAACTAAGGCTGATCATGAGGTCAGAAGGTGGAACACGTTTTTAACTGTGGTACTTCCATGCTTGATGATGTTTGAAAGTCAAGATTCCCTGTGTGACCTTATTAGACTTTTATGTTTATAATTCAAAGTTGAAGGTTTAAACTATCTTCTGAAATTTTCATGAGAGGAACCTGCAGCTTTTATTACACAACGGTAATACCAAGAAGTGAAAACTTTTTATTTGCATGTAAAAACCAGCCTTGATCTGAGCAAGGATTCAACGCTGTGAAAGTTAGAGAAGAAAGGAAAAAAAACCTAATTTTCATCAATTAGTTTGAAAAAAGAAAGAAAAAGTTATCTGGGATGCAAAATGCTATGGGAAAAAATTGAGTGTTTTGCTGGAGGCTCCTTAGCTAAAGTATTTATCACTTCTAGATCATTCTTGCTGCAGAGGCATTTAGAATCATTTCTGCTGGTAAAATAAAATGCATGAATGCAGAACAGAGGTGGCACATGGGCAGCTCAGGACAACACAAGTTAAACACAAATAAAGCAAATAGTGTGCAAAAAAAGCAGCAAAATAATAAAAGGAAAATTAATATGGTTTGAGAAGCATTTGGAAACCCTCACACACAGCCACCTCTTTGTCACATACAGATAAGCACAACAGTGGTTCTGCAGCTTATTACACAGAAAACATTGATGGTGTTAAGGATGAAAAGATTTTGCACTGAAGTTTGACAGGTTTGTGATTTTCCTGATGCAGGGAAGAGTTATCTTTGGAGTGGGGCACGGCGTGGGCCCGGGGCAGGTTGTGATGCCTGGTGCTGCCCTATGTTCATTCCTTTGCCATGTGAGCTGTGAGACAGTTGACCTTAAAAATCCCATAATACTCCCTAATGCTGCACTTTCCCTCCTCCTGCATATTTTCAGTGAGATGTTACTAATCCCAGGAAAGGAAAGGGCAAAAGCTTTGGGCCATTGATGAGCCAAACTCAGAGTGCTCAGATAGGAAAACAAATAGCATCCAAAGCACTAAATCTGGGCAGGATTTGAGCTAAGAGCTGTTAAAAACCCTGTTAAAAGTCAAGCCAGGAAGAATAAACTGAGAACAGGCAATTACACTTCACTCTTGGCTTGGTTGCACTGGCTGGTGGTTCAGAATTGCCACGCAATGATTTACTGGGAGATAATGGAGCATTGCACAGCCCAGCTCCCACAGAGGCTCCACACCTTCATCAAGATGCCAGTATTTAGTGCTAAGCTTTATTAAGCATGAAAGGAAAAAAAAAAAAAAAGCCAAATTTGAATTTTTAATGTCCTGAGTTAGTCCTTAAAAAAACATTTATAGAGTAGATGATAGTGATTCAACAGAGCAACCTTGGAAGGGAGACTAAAATGAATATTGACTTTGCTTTCCCAGTCTGTGGTTTGTGGTAAAAGAAACAATTTTTAATTCTCCATCTTTCATTACTGGCAATTCTGATTGTGAACTAAAGACAACACCAATATTCCTCATTATTGTTAATGCCTTTATGAAAGGCTGATTTGGATTTGGAATTGCTCTAAAATCTACTAAAGTGATTAAAGTGTTTAAAAATTACTGACCTAGTTCATTCAGATAGCTGTAGGGTCTCCAGTCTGCAGTTTCTCTGTCAAGGATTTTGTTACTGAGCTGTTCAAAAAGTATGATAATGGGTTAATGCTGGAAGAGACAGACAGTTCCCACCCCAGACTACAGCCCAAGGATGTCAGGAATAAAAATGGGAGGTGACTCCTGCCTTGGCCTCAGCATCTCAGCCTTTATCTGTGTGAGTTGGACAGCTGTTCAGTAGCATTAGGGAAAATCACAAAGGAAAGTCACTTCACCAAGCCATGAACACAAACATGCTGGAGAACACAGGATTTCCTTTGGAACCACGATGGGATGCCTGTGGACGTGGGGTGACACACTCCAAACTAACCCATGGAGATGGATGGGTCAAACCCCTACACCAGCATGCACAGAGGGGCTGCCTGGAGCCTGGGGGCTGCTGACACAGCTGTGGGTGCACTGACAGGAGATGCAGGGGACACGAGTTCTCTCAGTTCAAGGAAAATCCCTTTGGCAATGATGGAGCACAAGGGCCCCTGTGGATCTGCCAGCAAAGAGGAGAGTCCAGGGCTGCCCTGCAGGTGCTGCTGCTGGGACAGCCCCTCCCAGAGGGTGCAGGGAGAGGAGAGGGGTCTCTGCTTTGGGGTGCAGAGCCCCACCGGGCTGGGACAGAGCAGAAGGGGCTCCACAGATGAGTGGTCACCAGCTGAGCCCTGCAGGGGGGTTTGGGAATAGCTGTAGGTGCTAAAACTGCTGAGCTTTCCTCCTCATATTATTCCCTTGAAAGCCACGCCTGCTGGAATACAGCTGGTCCAGAGGAAGTGTCAATTCAAGAGCAAATCCCAGCCTTGTTTCTGAAAAGGTATGAAGCCATCACTGCCCTCCTGTGTCTGCTTCCAGACTGGGAAGCCTCCTGCTGTGTTTGGAAGCATTCAGCTCCACTATTTTACTGTATTTACAAGAAAATACTAAACAAAAAGGAGGTTAAAATTGAAAGAGAGTATTCAAAATTACCACAACATTTAATTTTTCCTGATCTACCATTCGTTTTTGCTTAGCTGTCTTAATAGGTTAGACCTGGCACAAAACCCCCCACTGATGTATTGAAGCCTATTGGGATATTAAATCCCAGCTGGGGCCCAGCACCAACAGCCACATTCCAAGGGCATTTTCACCCCTCAACAGTCCTTTCCAACAGCCCTCAGTGCTACTGCCACCCCACCTTGGGCTACAGCATCCCTGGTGTGTCCCTGTGCCCACAGTGCTCCTGCTGTCCCCAGCACTGAGGAAGCTCTGCAGGAAATCAGGAGAGCCCAGGAGTCATTTCCTGATCATGCAGCAGCTCCCTGTGCTTCCCCAAACTGGGAATGGAAACAGAGACAGCAGAGGCAGGGATGGATGGATGGATGGATGGATGGATGGATGAGACATCAGAGGCAGGGATGGATGGATGATGGATGGATGATGGATGGATGATGGATGGATGATGGATGGATGATGGATGGATGATGGATGGATGATGGATGGATGATGGATGGATGATGGATGGATGGATGGATAGATGCATGCATGGATGGGGCAGTTGGACAGCCCAGCAGTGGCAGGGGCATGAAGAGCAGATCCATTTGGAATGTTGTCACTGGGAGGAATTCGACCCTTGGCACCATCAGTTCTCCTCAGCAGAGCCCACAGCTTCATTCTTCTCTTCAGAACTTGCAGCCAGAACACAAATGCTGATTTTTCAACCCAGCTGCACCACTTACAGCACATTTATTAAAGTCTTGGGGCTTCTATTAAAAGTTGTGGCTTTGCAGGATTTATAAATCAGCTCACAAACCTAAAATTTGGCATGAAGAGCTACGGGCTAGAATTGATTTTTTTTAATGAAATGATTTGGGGACATTTCTAAGTTTTTCTGAATGCAATTTTTCTGAATGTGATTATAGCTGTCTCTTTGTGCTACTATCATTTCTTAGCATGCTATAATTTGTTAACTTTTTTTTTTTTTTTTTTTTTTTTAAAAGAGAAACTACTTAATTTTTTTCTGTGAGAAAAAGAAAATACTTCAATTTTTACTGTGAAGCAAAATTGCTTTTCTGCAGGAAGAAATCCTTCATAGTAAATTTATCCATTAAAATTCCAGGCTGGTAATTTTAGCAATTTGGTTAAAACTACCTCATATCTGGCAACTTTTCCTTTAAGATCAACGAGATACCAGCCTAAGTAAACAAAGTCATTATCTGCCTGTCTGAAATAGCTGGATAGATGACAGTGGCCACTTGATCACCACCAGCCATTTGTCAATGCCCAGGTTTTTAAGTCCATGGAGATTAGGCAAAGAAGTGCTGGCAGGAATTCCATCATACCTTTATCCTCCAGGAGAGCAATCAATAATTTGACATTTATTTCCCTAACTACTGACTTCAGGTCTCCCTGGTCCAAGCTTGTGCTGCTCAGTTTTAGATGCCCATCCTGAACATGCTGCAGCCATTCTGTATTTGCAGTCCTCCTTTTTCTTGGGCAAGTTTTAGTCAGAGGTACTTAAAGGTGCTTTCTGTACTGAATTCCTTTTTATTAGCTGGGTGACATCCAGTCAGACCATTTCCAGTGACCTCTGTTTTGCATTTTCTAATTTTATGTGAAGTCTTTGGTAGAATTTAGGACTTCCTTTAATAGATGTGAAACTGCTGGCTTTAAAAAAATCAGGACATCTAATAGCAATTGATTTTTATGATGTCTGTAGAAACCAACACTTGGACTTCTGCTGCGATGCTGGAAGGGAATGAGGGTGGAATTATGAGCTTTGCAAAAGCTCAAGGTGAGAATCCTCCATTTGCTTGTGACCAGTGCAGCAGCCTCATCCTTTACACAGAGGATTCTACACAAACTTTGCAGTGCTTGGTAAAAGTGAGGTTTGTTTTTACTTCATGCACAATGAAATAACTTACTCACAAAGCTGGCATTGAACCCTGAGAGGGGTTCTGTGAGTGGTCCTGCCAAACACCCTCTGGTCTGTGGTTCAGCAATGAGAGCTTTGATGTCAAAACACAGGTATGGAGGTATGTAATCTCCATTTATCTGCTTTGGAAATTTTTGGTAATTCTATGGCAAAAGGTCACCTGAGTTCATGTCTGATACTCCTTGGTAACTTGCAGCATCATTACTAGCTGGTGCTGCACATGTCATGAGAAAAAAGGCCAAACCTACTTGTAGGAGCTCATAAACAAAGGTCAAGGTGTGGCTTCAGTTAAACTCACAGTAAAATATCTCTTGGCTCCAGTGATTCCAGCCTTCTCCCCAGCTGACTTGCCAAGCTCTCTCCTGTGGGCAGAGCAATTACTTGTGGCAAAGTGCTGGGAGTTAAAAGCCTGCACTGAGATTCTGGAGCCTCCTCCTGAACCTCAGAGCTGCAGATCCATTCTCGGGGTCCTTGCACAGAGATGAAGCTCAGCCCTAGAAGCTCCTGCTGGCACCTGGCACAGGCTTGGGGACAGGACTGCAAGGGCTTGGATGCCCCAGTCCCTGTGTCCAGCTGCCTTTTACTGCCAACACCCAGGCACACGATCCCCCAGAGAGCTGATCAAGCTCCATTTCAGCAGTAATCAGATTTCTTTGTCCCATTAGTCTTCCTGGGAAGCTATTCCAAAATCTCACTGATCTGATGGTAGAAATCTAATTTCCAGCTTCGATGCATTCATGGCCAGTTCATCCTCATTTGTTCTCGAGCCAGCTCTGTCATCTCACTTAAATAGCTCTCCTCCCTCCTTGTGTTTACCTTGCTGTATTTATAGATGGCAATCATGCTCCCCCTCAGCATTCATTTTGCCAGACAAAAGCAGCCAAGCCTTTTCCAGTCTCTTCTGATAGGCTCCCCCTTATCCTCCCACTTGTTTTCCTCCTGCCTGTGTTCCAGTCTGTGCTCCACTGGCACAACCCCCAGCCCCAAACACACTGGGCGGGTTTGGTGCCTCCACTGGTGCTTGTCTCTCAGCAGCTCTCTGGCTCACCTTCAGGACCTGAGCAGTGGCCAAATGTCTGTCTGGCAGAGGGGGAATGAGGAGGTGAGATCCTTCCCCCTGCTGAAGCCTGGCCCTGCTCCCATCCTGTGTCACAAACTGTCCCCAGCGCAGTGCTGGGCCCTTCAGCTCCTTCTAAAGCCTCACCCACCTCCTTCCCTCCAGAGGTGCCACCCCGGGGGCTGCAGCAGGGTCAGCACACAGTGCTGGGAGCCCCCAGGCAGGGAGCCTGGAGATGGGAGAGGGATGGGGAGGAGAGCAGAAAGGAAATAGGAATTATATGTGTAGAGTTGGGGAAGAGAAGAGAATAGGAATAGGGACATGAGAAAGAAAAAAGATAATGGAGTAGAGAGATCACCAAGAAAAGAGGGGAGAAAAGGCAAAAGACAAAGAAAGGAGAGAAGGGCAGGGAAGCACAGCAGAGAAAACTCCTCAAAGTGGAGCAGGGCTCCCAGCTGTCCTGCCTTTGTGCTTTGCCCAGGCTCGGAGAGAGAATGGCTCCAGCCCAGCTCCAGGCCTCATCTCCTTGGAGCACAGGGAGGTAACACATCCTGGGTCTGGCTCAGCACTTCAGACATTCCTCTGCCATTGTTTTTTCATGTTGCATCTGTGCTGGTTTCTTTGTGACCCCAGCTGGCACTCTAAAGAAATGAATCCTCCAAGTACAACTTGTGCACATTTCTCTGCAGAAAGTGAGAATGGCACCAGGCAAACTGATTTGGAAATGAACTCGTTAAGGCAGCTATTAGGGCTTTATATGCTCCTTTGTCTCACTTGGCTGCAGAGCTGCAGACAGACAAAGTGTATTTTTGGCCATCCTCAGCTATTCAGCACTGCAAAGCATTCTCATTAATAAGTGAGATGGTGGGAGATCTAAAGGAAATATCAGGCCATATATTTTGATAAATACCCTGAAAATACCAATTCTATTGGTCTTTCAGTGATTATCAGGACAACCTGACTGACTACAATGGCCAGAGCTGCAGCAAGGGGAGCAGCTTCCAGGAGAGTCCCAAAGCACCACTTGGGGATTAAACCTTTCCAGCAGCTTAATTTTTGAAGTAGTTCTGTGAGAAGATGGCACTGCAGGCTGGGAATTCAGGATAGGTGCTGGCTTTGACCTTTTCTGAATTGATTTAAATTTCTGCAAAAGGATTAGTGGCCCAGATGGACACTCATCCTAAATTTGACATTATGAGCGTTTGCACTTTCAATTTGGGGAGCAAAAATTCATGATGCAAGGGGATCATCTACATCAAAAACCATATTTACACATCTGTCTAAACATTTCTCTGAGAAATCTCTGGAGCCAGCCTTTTTTTTTTTTAATGAGATTTTCTTTTAACGACTAAGAAATTACCTACAGAAGCACATGTAGAGATATTTTTGCCTGTCCTGTACAATACTGTCTTTTTTGCATTAATCTTGTTCATATGGCATTCCAGTGAATAGCTACATTTGGGTTAAGGTGACACAGCCTGAAATATCATCATTTTTAAAGCCGACAACCTTGATGAAATCAACTGCATTTCCTTTTTCCTGTGCTCCCTCTGCTTTGCCCCATCTGGCCTTATTAAGGCTCCAAAGGAGGAGCTGTTTTACCATTTGCCATATCTAAATTTACTGCTAAAGAGCTGAATTGAGTCACAGTGTTGTTCATGAATGGTCTGAGGGAATCAATTGCAACAAATTATATGGAAAGTGCTCCTGGATGTTCCAGTGATAGGGCTGGAATAGCTCTGCTGGAGAGCCAGGAGTGACAGCAGAGGTCCCAGTGTCCCTGCATGAGTCCTCAAAAGCACCCCAGGTACCTTCTTGCATCTTTCTGCTTGTCTGTGTCAGCAGGGAATTTGTGTGTCTGATGTGGGAAACAATGAAACGGCAAAGAGAGATTACTGATTAATGCTTCATTGATTTACTGGTGTTGTGTTAATGGATAATTATATTTATTGAGTTATTTATCTCTTCTGAGAAGCAAATATACCTCAGAGTTGCTAAGACACCAAGCCTTGCTGACCCAGACAGGCATGAGACTCCAGTTCCCATTCCCAGAGAGTGGGAAGATACAGGGAGGGGAAATCCAACCTTTCAGTGTCTGGGACATCAGGAATGCTACCCTGGAGTTTGAAATAGTGCTGGCAGACAACAGGGCCCGAGAGGCATTGCTTTGGTTGATTTCCTTGAACTGATAAGAACATTGCTACAGTGGGGTGGGGTAATATCTACCTTACAAGAGCTGTTTCCATCCAGATTACTGGGAAAGAAGCGTGAAGTCACCCCACATGAGAGAGTGTGGTAGCTTGGATTGGAAAAACAATGAACACTGCTGCTACCCTGGGATATATCTGGGAAGAAAACAAGTCAGCACAAAATACTTTGGAAGCCACAACAGTTCTTAAGAAACTGAAAACATGGTAGAGACAATCTAGTTTAATAATCTTTGCTGGAGTACTGGGTGTTCTAAAACATCTGCAGATCTATCCTGCATTATGGTGTGCTCTTGACTATTACCATTAAATATAAGAGAAAAAAGGCAAAATATTTAAATAATACAGTGTTATCTTCTTGAAGGTGTTAATAAAGTAATTCCTGACAGTTGCTTTGCAGGTGAGGGGAGGGAGGCAAAACTCGGGAAATGCATGGGCTGCAACACAGCTGCCTCCTTAGTTTAACCTATGGAAGGGCCCCTGGGCAGTCTTGCAGTTGAAACAAATGAAACCTTTTTGTTACAAAACCAGGAGTAAAGTTAGAAATCAAGGTGCTATAACTGTACCAAGGAGTCCAAAACGTTTTCCGTTGTGTGCAAAGGCTTTTCAAAAACCAAAGCTGGAGCCCTGAAAGGCAAACCTGGGCAGTTACATTCTATGCTCAGAGACATTTTATCTACTTCCTCAATTTAAGTTATAAACACATTTACCAAACAGAATAATTTACCAAGAAAGGCATCATATTTATGCTGGCAGTTCTAATGAAAACATCAATCCCAATCTGGTTCCAGCTGCATAACAAATAGATACGTATTTCAAAGTAACATCAGGAGAAGGGATGGAAAATTTCAACTGGAGCAGCATCATTTAAACAACGAGGCCCTGTAAGGAGCAAATGAACAGGCTTTGCTAAAGCAATGGCTCAAACTGCAGGCAGAGAGGTTGGTTGTGGGGAACACCTTCATTCAAAGGGTGATGAAGTGCTGGGGTGGCTGCTTGAGCCCATCACCACCTTTACTGAAGGCTGGCAGCAATGGATGAGGCAGGACAGGGACCTGGTGTCCCCAGCCACTATCACCTCCTCTCCTGGCCCTCTGCATTTGCCTCACTCTGAACATGCACTTTGCTTTGCTGACATCTTGTGGAGATCTAGATTGAGCTTAATTTACTGCAGACTATCCCGTTTCCAAGAAGTGGGTTTATCTGCAGGGTGTCTCTTACATAAGGGCTGTGGCTCAGGGCTGGGGGAAGCTGCTCCTGCATGTGCAGCTCTGACCAAGCACTGCTTTTCTGCTGAAATATGCAAAGAGATTTTCGAGGTCAGCTCTATTTTGTGATAAGTGCAGAGCCTTTGAGTCCCAGCTGTTTTCCAGAGTTGCTGCTGACAAATGATCTCAGATCAGGATGTGATTCCAGAGCTGAAGTCTTTGCATAGAACATCTGTCAGCCAGGCTGCCAGGGCTCTGCCACCTCCCCCAGCTACAACTCTGTGACATTTACAATCAAACCAACAGGAAACACATCTCTCTTGGGGTCTGCCAGTGGGAACTGGGGCTGGAACCCACCCTTCATGTCAGTGTGTGCCCTCCACCAATACAGCCTTGAGCCTGCTGGGGGGCTTGGCTCAAGGGCCCCTCCTCCCTCCCCACAACCCATGGTCCCAGTTAAACAGAACACTTGGATCTGTGTCTTTCTGCTCTGAAAGTGTTGGTGGAATCAGCTCTGCCTTCCCCCTTCCCTTATCCCCTGCCTGTGGGCAAGACCAGCTGGAAGGAAGAGCCAGGACCCTGTGGCTGTGCTGTGGGATTTGGGGTGCCCACCGATGTCACCGGGAGCCACCTGAGACCAGGCGAGTTCTCACCCAGCTCAGCTGGCTGCAGCTTGTTCTCTGCACCCAAAATGAGCTGAAATAAAACTCTACCAGAGTGCTCTACTACTCAGCACAGTGTTGAATTAATGATTCTGAGCTTGTACACATCCCCCAAAATCCTTTTTTTCCCCCCCCTTGCATGCAGCACCCTGAACTCAGAATTACTCCTTCTACACAGTTCCTTCTGGTCGATACTTAAGTAGCCACCCAGGCTGATTTACCTTGATAGCACAGTCCATTTTCTACACATTTATTCATGAAGCTCTTGTAACTGCTGGCTGGAAATACATCAAATTCAAATTTAATGCTATCCCTGTTTAAAAAAAAAAAAAAAAAAAAGCCAACAAAAAACCCGAACCCACAAAAAAATCTCTCTCTTCCCAAAGGTGGGAATTTTATTCTGGTCTGAACAGCAAGGAAAGACCTAAATGCCTAAAGGAAAGGGAATTAGACTGAGCTCCTGCTCTGAGCCTGGGCTCTGGGGTGCCACAGAGAGCATCAGTCCCCATCCTGCAGGATAGTATTGTGGAAATTGGGCACCAGCCCAGCCACAAAAAAGGGAATAAGTGAGCACTCTGCAGTAAATACAAACCCAGACTTCTCAACTGCTAAATGGAGCTGCTTCCTTCTCTTTGTGTGGGTCTTCTCTGCCCACACAGTGTCAGTGAGACGGCTGAAGGCTCCAAACAGGAGGGTTCACTCTGCCACCTCCCACTACCCATCATCTGCAGATCATTTCTGGAAGTGTCTCGTCTAGTCTTCAAAATCCATGATGCTTTATTTGTGTTAAGCTTTGCTTAGCTCTTGGCTCTCAGCAGAGGATTCACCCATACCAGAAAGTTTGCTAAGACCTTGATAAGACCTCAAACATCACTTCAGCCCATAGCCAAGTCTTTGTGAAAATCCCACTAAAAAATCTCTGCTGCTCTCCACGCTGTTTTCCCTTCTGTCCCCATCTCCTTGAACTAAACAAAAAAATCTTTAAAATATTTTTTGCATGTAGTGCACTGCTCTCAGGCTGGGGAGCACCATTTTGATTTCAGGCTTATTTGGGAAAGTTTGCTCTTGGACCCATGTGCCGTGGATAAGCCCTCCCAGCACAGGAGGTTTTCTTCTCCTCTGGCTGCTGGGCAAAGTGTGTGTTTTGCTGCCACATCCTTCATCCACAAATGCAAAAGAGTCCAAGGGCTGCCCAGGGGGTTCTCTTTCCTCATAATCTCTCTCACACATATGCATGGATTATCAGCCTCACAGGAGCTGAGGACGTAAAGACCAAAAACATCCTCCAGAAATAAATGTGCTGGAGGAAATTGCTGCCTCCAGGAGCTAGGGATTTGTGTATGTGACTCTATTCAGAAACAACACCACCATTACCCAAAGAAGAGTAAACAGGCAAAAGAACAACTGGTGATCCAGGAGAGCCATAATGTTACAACTCACAGAGGGCTGGATGCTGCAGCCATCCAGGTGGAATTCTTGCCAAAGTACATGGGTTTACATGGGATTATATCCATTGGACAAGCACATCTACATGGTATTCTGCCCTTAATCCACAAGCAAACCTGCAGGTGAAGGTTGGAATGCCTGTTCCCTTTCTGCAATATTGCTGCTGATGCTTTGTGAAGGCTGTCCTAGAACAGAGGCTGGACAGAGCTAAAGAATAAAGTGTCCTTCAGCATCCTCTGCAACACACCTGCCCTCAGACACACATGTGTTGTCTTGCCAGCCACATATTCCTTTTCTGTGAGCTTGTCTCATACCCACCTCTCCATGTTCTGCTGAAGAAGGTGCACATCAGCACCTTTTCCTGCCTCTCTGCTCCATGGAAGAGAAGCAGCATTGGTAAGGCCAAACTTGGGGCAGTTACTGAAAGTCTCAGCATGGGAATATACTGGAGGACAGACAGGATTTGGCAGGGAGTTTTCAGAAGCTCTCATCTAGAATTTTTAAATGCCCTTCTAAAAAGGGCAAACCCCAAAACTTGAAACAATGCTGGTACCTGCAGGCAATTTATAATGAGCTGAAGATGAAGCAGTGTGTTTCTATCTTCTTAATCTTCCCCTGCAAGCTCAGATGGCAGAGTTTTCCGAGGGGGAGGAGGAAGAAAACTGTCCTTGTGACCTCCAGAAAGAGAGGCCTGACCCCACTCTGCTGCAGCTTCCTGAGTGATATAATTTCTATTGCTAGAAGGATTGCACAAAGAAAGTAAGAGGAAAGGAAAGGCCCAGTCTCTGCCTTTTTTTCAATTTGTCATTTTTTATAATGACAGCATTAAAAAGGAGATCACATCCTCCAAAATTCAGACAATCTGTCAAGAAAAGCTGTCCTCCATGGCAGGAACAGAGGATAGAAAGAAGGAAGAATGCTTTGATCCTGAAGAGCCTTCCTCTTCCTCTCCCCTGCTTTCCTCAGCTCCTGGGAAGATGATTCCCACCAGCTGTCTGCGTGACAAGGACTGGTCTGCACACAGCAGAGAGTGACAACAAACAGACACCTCAAATCACAATCTGCAGCACAAACAAAACCAAAACCTTATGACTGACCCAGCCAATCCCATTCCTTAAACCAAAAAAGGCTTCCCAAGGTTTCACAAAGGGAAACATCTCTACACTGCAACAGGAATGCACATGACTCAAAATTCCATACAGCATATTTCCTGCCTGGGTATATCCCATATCAACTTCCACACAGAAAGCAGCTCAAATCAGTTTTATATTTGCTCTCCTGTCCCATTTATGTGTTTAAAGATCACAGTATTCTGAGGAAGAATGGAAGTGTCATTATTTTTGAGGCTCAATAACACGTTACACATCACAGAAACTTGTTTTCCCCCAACAGACAGGAATGTGAGTCTGGATTTGATTAACATAAAAAGACCCTTACCAGAAAGTGAGTAATCTGTATTAGTCATCCTCATGGCTGGAGTGTAAGATACACTTGGCATGTCATGGCCCTTCTCCTTCTGTTTCCGTCGATACCACACAAAGAGTGCCAGCAAGACCATAATAATTAGAAGGAGAATAATAATTCCAATGATTGCTCCCACTGAGTGCCTCTCTGATCCAAGAGCAGGGCTAATTTTAGTATAGGGGTTTAATTCTTCCATCATAAGAGCCGCTGTTAAAAGTAATTCATAACACACTGTAAATTGAATCGTACATTTCATTTTTGAAACACTATTTTTTTAAGCACTTCATTGGAGAGGGGGAGAGAGAGAGAGGAGAGAGGGATTTTATAGAGAGAATTCCACTGTACCTTGGTCACATCGGATTCCTTTGAAGCCTGGACTGCAGTAGCAAGTGCCTGTGACGTGGTCACACGTTGCATTGTTCATGCACTCACACAATTGTTTGCAACCATAACCAAATGTTCCTGGAGAGCATTCTGGGGAGCCAAAGAAAAACATTGGAAAGAATTCTTCTGTTTTTGGGAACGGGTACAACACTTGCCGTGGAAGATTCCGTAGAGAAGTCTCCCTGGGTTTAGGATCTCAAGGATAACACCCTAATTATTATTACACCCTAATTATTATTTGTAAGAAATTATTATTATTATTAGTGAAATTATTATTATTATTATAGTGAAATTATTATTAGACTAAAGCAGGAGCTAAATGCATTCTATGTGCAGTTTGTTACTTATTAAGCTGTAATTTTCTGGAAAATTCATGCAATGAAATCAATGATAGGTACAAAGGCTTTAGAAGACTTCATGTATATTACCAATGTTCAGAGTTTAACAGAGCTTGAGCTCAGAAGCTGCAGACAACAGAGCTCAGCATTCTTCACCAACTTACCTGTTTTATTTTTTGTGGGGGGAGTTGCAAAGAAAAGTTTTAATGAACCTTTATATGAACCCAACAGCCTTTACCAAACAAACCCCACATGCTTTCCTACTCATCCCTACCAGTGCCACGTGAAGAGAACTTTGCAGGTGGAATTTCAGAACTGAGCAGCTGAATGGTTTGATTTGCTCTGCTTCGGTGTCAGGGTTTCTAATACAGAAGGAATTTCTATCCTGTCTTTGTGTTTCTATCAAAGACTGAATGTCCAGCTGAGAAATTTATTCATACAATTACCATGATGGGCTATTACAATAAATCTGTAGGCAACTTACTGTACTTCTGGAAGCATTATTCAAGAATAAATTGAAAGAAACAATGTCTGTCACATCCCACTTACTTCCATGGAGAAGCTGCATTACTGAAAACATGCACCCTTGCTATGATCCTGTGGAATATATTGTTCAAGATGTGACTCCTTGTGTGTCACTGCAAATGTTTTTCATTGCATGACAACACCTCCCCAATGTCAGTCTCAAAGTAGCTTCTGGCAGACAAAATTTAATATTAAGTACAGAATCATAGCCAGTATCTCTTTATTGATTTGCAGTGTGTATTAAAATTGTATCTTTAATCTGTTGGTACTCAAACAAACAAAAAAATAAAATTATTACAATTAATGCTCATTCTTTTATTAGCCTGCAGCCTACTTAAAATGAATAAGGCCTAAATTTTGGGACTGCACCACAGAAATGATGCCTGCAATTAAGCATTTCATCTGCAATGCAGTGTGACTGCCCATTCAGCAGGATTTGGAGAAGGAATGAGCCTTAATGAAGAGATTCTTTTAGATTAAACAGTAGAAAAACAAGTAAATAAATACATTTGTAGTTTGGATAGAAAAGAAAGCCTCAGGCTTTATACAGGGGTCAAATCATAAAGCAGCTCCTTGTATAAAATCTGCTATTGTGCAGTTCTTTGTGGGATTCTTTAGTTTCCTATTTTGATTGTGGCTGCAGTGAAGAGCATCCCCAAATTCCAGGAAGCTGGCCACTTACAGAGTTACAGTGGTGCCATGTGCAATCCCCCAAGAGCACACAAGTTTGGCCCTGAGATGCTCACTTTGCTGAATGCAAGTGTGTGCAACATATTTATGAATTAAATTATGTGCACAAATACTTCCATAAAGATCCACATAGCAAGCTACAGTTAAAAAGCCTTCCCTTGCATTTCTGACAGGAATGTTACTGAATTATCTTACTGCCAAAAAAAGTGAGGAAACCCTGTGGAATTAATGCCTTGGGAAGATGAGGTGGATTTCACCTGTGTTTAGAATCCCAGTAAATGGGTGAGAATTTCCTTGTGAATTACTGCACTGGACAAACAAGTAATTATCCAATTACAGCACATCCAGTTTCCAGGACCCTCGTTCAGGGTTCATTGACCATCACTGAGGTTCATTGGGAAACACTCACTGCTCTAGCTAAACACAGACCCTTCCCAAAATGGTAAGCAACCTTGTTTCCCTTGATCTGCTTTATAAAGATGAATATTTATTTGGTCCATGTTTACACCATAACTTCTGTGGGAAAGCCCCATATTCCCAATATTCTTTGGAAGGCAGAGAGCAGAAAGGACTTTTAACACTTTTAACACTTCTGTTTTATGCACTGGGGAACCCGGGGCTGCTGCTCTCAGCAGCATGAACAAGGCCTGAGGCAGCTTTAGGGCTGGGTGTGTATCAATCAGGTACAAGTCGTTTGGGAAGGCCCCATCCAGTCAGCACTGAGTGCAGTGATTTGCTTTCTCTCACTCAACTTTATCCTGGGAATGAAAGGCCCAATTTGCAGGGATTCACTGAATTTCTTTATGCTTAGAAACTTCCCAGTTTTCCAGAGGTGCCCTCTCCTCCCTATGGATTATATAAGGAGCCTGAGGTCATTGTCCTGCTGACATCAACACCTCATTTAAGAGCCAGTTTGTGCAAGAATTCTGAAACATACCCCACTCTCTGGAGCAAGAGGGGACTGAGGCCGCTGGTACTTACTCTGCTCACACTGTTTGCCTGTGAACCCCGTCCTGCACGTGCACTGCCCGGTGATGTGGTCACAGTCGGCTCCGTTCTGGCACTGGCACACATTGGCACAGTTCTTCCCATAAAAAGCAGCTGGGCAACCTTTCAGCAAGCAGAACAAGGAAAGAGTAAGAAATAAGCTGAAAGTCAGCCTCAGATGTGTTATTAGCACAAAGAATGTGGGTGTATAAATCTATGGATTTTCAGCCTCTGTATATTTAATGACATTTATTTGATGGTCTAAATGCAGAGATACTGTGACAGACAATTTTCTTGAAGTAATGTTTCTCATCTTTACAGAATTGCCTCTAAAGTGTTTCAGAAGAATGAAAACTTGACCCATCCATACAAACTACATTTTCAAGAAGTGAAAGAAGATGCTAAACAGAAACTCTCTGGAAGACCAGGGATCAATCAATTATTTGCAAGTGAAAGAACCTTCTTAAAAGGCTCACCAGAATTGGATCTCCTCTTTCATACCGGTAATTTGGCAGTAGGGTGAGAAATCTCTACCATTTTCCTAAATCAGACCATAAATACTGGGGCATTAACAAGCAGGGACACTGACTGTGCAAATTCTAACAATGAATCAATAATCTAAATTATTTTCCCCTCCTTTACCGAGCGCCAAAGGCATAAAAAAACCTTGGAAAGCTTCAGGACTATTTTCTTAGGGGTGATGTGAGGTTATCAGGAGTAGGGAGCATGTGGTTTTCCAGGGAAAACTGCAATACTTGGAAGAGACACGAGGTAGCAGCACATACTTTGACAGATTCCCTGTCTCTGAAAGGCTTACGCTGAGTGCAGTAGAGCCCCGTCCAGCCATGGGTACATCTACATTCTCCATCGTAGGGGCTGCACAGTGCTCCGTTGTGGCAGTTGCATGAATGAAAGCAATCAGGGCCCCAAAACCCAGCGGGACAAGCTATGAAAATAGACAAAAAAGAAAGCAAGGATACTGTGTTAGTGCTGTGGAGGAGCAACAATAAAGGGGGAACCCGTGAGACATCAGCAAAGGCAGAACCTCGCACTGCTGAACTTGGCAGTGACTCCTGGACAGTGAGCAGTGCTCCCTGGACAGTGACAACCCTGGACAGTGACCAGTTCTCCCTGGACAGTGGCTGGTCCTTCCAAGCCACCAACTGCTCTCCAAACCCTGGTGCCACCCTGTAACCTCTCCCTGGCACAGGGATTTCTTGCAGCAGATCAATGGAGGAGATTTTGCTGCTCTGCCCTGTTCAGGTGAGACCCCACCTGCAGATCTTCCTCCAGCCCTGGGGAACAACAGCAGAAGGATTTGGATCTGCTGGAGCAAGTCCAGAGGAGGCCACAGAGATGCTGCAAAGGCTGGAGCCCCTCTGCTCTGGAGCCAGGCTGGGAGAGATGGGAATGTTCAGTTTGGAGAAGAGAAGGCTCCAAGGAGAGCTCAGAGCCCCTTCCAGGGCTTAAAGGGGCTCCAGGAGAGCTGGAGAGGACCTGGGACAAGGGATGGAGGGACAGGGCAGAGGGGGCAGGGGGAGATGGGATACTGGGGATGAATTGTTCCCTGGCAGGGTGGTGAGGCCCTGGCACAGGGTGCCCAGAGCAGCTGTGGCTGCCCCATCCCTGAAGTGCCCAAGGCCAGGTTGGACACTGGGGCTTGGAGCAACCTGGGATAGGGGAAGGTGTCCCTGCCATGGCAGGGGTGCAATGGGATGGGCTTCAAGGTCCCTTCCAACCCAAACCATTCCAGGATTCTGTGACTCCATGAGCCTCTGTTAGGGCAGGACACAGGATCAGGTTTTTGCTGCTGTGAACCAGTGACCCTGGACACAACCCCTCTCTGTGCTGTGGCCACTCTCCATGCCTCACTGGCATTATCTGTGAGGACAATTTAGGCAGGGTTGCAAGATATGGAGGTAATTTAATTTTCTTTTTGACATGCTGGAATTCTTGCATAATAAAGCCCAGCTATTCAGGTTTACTTTGCTATGCAATCAACTACTAAAATTACCACATTCATTTGAAGCACAGAGTGCTACTCCAATCATGAAAAAAATGTAAAGAAAACTTCTTCCAGTATGAATTCCCATCCACAAATTCAGATTGCTATTGTTGTTGGGGGGCTAATATTAAATTAAAATCTCCGGGTCTATTTTATATTTCAACAAGCACAATATTAATACATTAAAAAAAGTTATTGTAAGCCTCCCTCCAAAAATGAATGCAGCAAGTTACAGTTATTAGTGCCAAACTAAAAGATCCGGAATTATGATAGGCCTTCAATACAACAACTATATTTTTGCTTTAAAAAGCACTTTTCATTGCTTCCTGCTAAAGACATGAATTAATAAGGCACGGTTCCCAGGAAACCTGAAAGTACAGACACCAGGCCTATTTCCATGGATGCCAATGGCTCCATGGATGATAAATGGAAGTTTCTGGCATTTGACAGACACCTCTAAAGCCAGAACGAATGGCCAAAAAACCCTGCCATGACGTAAATCAAACAAAAGGTCACTGGACTCACACAATGTAAAGCTGAACAGAATTTGGCCTGAAGTGTTTGTGCTATAAGCAACCAGAAATACTTTCCCAACGCTGTCCTAAGGCAGAGCTGCAGGGGCTGTTAGTGAATCCAGAACTGGCTCTGGAGTCAGAGCTAAAATTATCTCTTGAGCAGCTCCAAGCCCAGGTCATTCCAGGTTAATGGGAGCACAGGGCCAGAAATAGCCCGGGAGGGGAGGCCAGGTGCCCACGGGAGCCTGGAGTGGGACAGGGTCACCTTGGGAGAGGTTCCCTGTGTGTGCAAGGAGTAGCTGAGCAAAGAGCCACGTCCCCCTCTGCTCATGCAGAACCCAGAGTGCCCAGAGCCAGGTGCTGCCTGCTAAACTGCTCCTGCTGACCTGGCCTGCCTCGCTCTGGAAGGAAAACCACCTTTTTTCAAGGTTAACAGACACTAACAGACATTTCCTAATTAGATGGCTAAATATAATGAGGAATATGTGCAGCTTTCTGTCTTTTTTCCCTTTTTTTCTGCTGTTTTTGAGTGACAGCAATATTCTGCCTGTGGAAGACATACAATAAAAGCAAAATTACAGCCGTCTGTTTTTATCCGATTCCTGCTTTATCACTTGGAGTTTAATATATTTTACTCTGGAATGCTGTCTAATATGCTAGTTGTATCCTGAATATGAAGTAACATTTCTGAATGATCGGATATTGCCTCCCTCTGTGATCTAGCTTCAATTAAGGGATGCTCTCAGGAAATGACACTTTGGGATCAGCAAATGCCAATCTTCTACCTGGGCAATTTTCAGAAAGAAATCCTTCATCCCTACAAGGCCACATTGACTTTTACAATTAAATTACATTTAATAGAAATATTTCAGCTACCTAATTTCTCAGTTCTAGGGATTTGGTACATGAAAACATTTACTGGTTAATAATGTCTAAATGTAATACCTGAAAGAAAATTATTTAAAAAAAAATAAATAAAAAGGAATCCAGCTAGAAATTAAAATGGAACATGGAGCTTTCTTTTCTGATAAGAGCTTGTGACCTCCCTTTCCTGGAATAAAAGCCAGTCAGGGCTTCTGCAAACTCCAAATGCAGAAACTATTTCAATCCAAAGCTAACTTAGATTAATTAAAAGAAATCTGCTTTAAAGAGAGCAAGGCACTGGCCGTAATACAACAGGGACTTCCCTAGAATCTGTCTTTAACTTTCAGAAAGCACTAAACAAACACAAAAATAGGATGTTGAAGGCAGAGGTGGAAAAATGCCCCTTTTCTTACTCTGGGAGCAGTCCATCCCTATCCAGCCCGGGAAGCACTGGCAGGATCCGTCGATGGGGTTGCAGGTCCCGTTCTCGGTGCACTGACACACCTCGGCACAGTCCTTCCCGAATTTCCCACTGGGACACACTGAAAACACAAGGCACTTTACTGCAGCCTCTTCAAAAGGAATGTGAGGAAACCACAGGACTCAACATTTAGCAATTAGAGATAAAATTAATTACAACAGTTTTTCTTTGATGAAGAACAGTTCCTCTGGAAAGCAGGAAAAGTATTCGAGCCCATTTTGCTTGCATCCCAGGAGTAAAAACAATAGGAAAAAGTCATATCAAAATCCATTTGCTGCTGGAAAATGAAGTTAATATAGTCAGAAGATTGCAATTATTGAAGGGAAGTATGGAAGGATTACAAGAGGAGAGACAAAACGGAGAAGAGGGGTCATGAGGAGAAGAAGAGAACAAGAAAAACTTAGGGGAATTCAGTGAGTAGCAGCCACAAGGGAGTGGCTGGGACTGATTTGGTTTCCAAGGATTTTATCTATATTTATATTTATGTATGTTATATATCTGTTTGACTGAGAGCTATTTAACAAATTTGCTGCATCCCAGCAACATCAGCACCTCTCTCTGTGTATCCACCTAAGTGAAGCTGGAAGAAAAGAAACTCTCAATTTTTTTCCAGAGTCATCTTCTCACATCCTAAGCACAGTGACAGGAAACTAATAGACATGTAGATCTTCAACCTCCCACCAAATTATTGGAAATCTTTAACGTTAAAGTTGATGGAAAGCTCTGCTCAGTAACGAATGAAATGTTTCATTTCTGGGCTCTTATTGGCTGGGTTCCCTGACAAAAACAGATGTATTTTCAAAACAAGATAAAACATACAGTCCATCTTTGCAAAGAGTGTAACAAATGGAACTGGACTTGGATCCTGGTAAATAATAGCGATGTCAAAAAAGTGATTAAGGCACTTCCCTGAATTATGCAGCTGTTTCACCACTTCAGCCTCTCTCACTTTCTCAAAAGTAGTCTCTGCAGGTGACCTCAATCTATCCTGACTGTGAATCAGCCACAGATTGAAATCCTGAGCTGTGATTCATTGGCTTTTATATAATATGCCATCCTCTGCTCTTACAACAGCAGAGTATTGTTTTCTGCTTGTGTTTCTATAGACTATGGACTTATCTGTAGGAGTGGATAAAGTTGGGTTTGGCTTTCACACTGTGTGCTAAACAGAACTGTTCCTAAATAAAAAGAGATAAAACTAAATACAATACACAGCCAGGATGGAAAGAATACACAAAGAGAGAAGGAAAACAGAACCCTCCTATCACAGACAGCAAAAACTGAACTGATCTGTCAGCCCAGGCTCCTGGACAGGCCACACCATTATTCCCTTCCAGCTCTGCATGAAGCAGCTCCAGGCACTGTTTTATGGCATCTTTGAGATGGAGACAGGCAACACCACCTCGATGAAGGCTGGGGTCTGTATGTACAAAAGTGGAATTCTCTAAGGACTTCCTTTGAAGAGGAGCTGATTTGTTCTGCTCCATGGAATACTGATGGATCAGGGCAAGCTCTGTGATCCAAACAGAGCTGCTGGCAAAGGGTCACACTTGGGTGCACACAGGCAGAGCTGGCAGAGGGGTTCTCTCCACAGGAGCTCCCCTTTTCTCTGGGAAATGGGATGATGCCCTCTGGGATGTCAGCACAGAGGGATGACAGGGTTCTTCTCCCTAATTTAAACAACCTGGCTGTGGACTGACAGAGAGACTCTTGTGAAGATGTGAGATCCCATTTTTTGAGACTTTTTAAATGTCTCAATCATTTTTAGAGAGCTGTAAAACAAGGCTTAATGCTGCTTTTTTCAGCAGCAGCCTGACTGTACAACACAGATTGGGATGTTAATTAGCTGGGAAAGCTCTGAAGTGGGACTCCCAAAGTCCCTGTGGGATGTCAGGTGTGTTCTAGCAGTGATAACAAGTTATTATCAACCCATCTCACTCTGGGATTGTGAAAGATATTCATAAAACAGCTGTTTAGTTGTTTGTAGCTCGGAATCCTTGGCACAACTGAGTCAACCTGTGCAGTTTTGGGGGTTACACAGCTCCTCACATGTACATACTGCTGGTGGAAGAATGTTCCTGCTGCCAATGGCACAAGGAAATGAAAATTCCAAAGTGAAATCTTAATTTCACATTTTTCTAATGGAAAATTAATTAGCATTTTTCTTTCTACAAAATAAAGTTACATGTTAACTCATTATGACAAACTGCAACACAAATTGATTTTAATTAGGACATGAATATTTTAAGATTAATTTGCTAGATAGATCAACATTTCAAAGTAAAACCAGAAGTGCTGAACATCTGAGCAAAAATAAAATAGTTTTCTTAAGAGGATAATTAGACCTGCTTACGCTTTGAAATCTGGCTAACGTTTCACATAAAATGGACAAATTCACTGGAATACGTTCATTTTAATAAATTAATTGGTGTAATGTTTAGTTGACTATACAGCACAGGAAAAAAAAAAACACCATGGTTATACTTAATCTCTGTTTAATGATTTTGGGTAACTGCTGCCTGCAATCCCATCTTATTGAAAAGCAGGTCACTGAAAGTGTCATTCAGTTTTGGCAGGGATGGTGACTCCACAGGGCCAGTGGCCACTACAAATCACTTCTTTTAAATATCTCTGTAGAAAATACCCACTGCAGTATGCAGCACCTGAGAGTGCAGAAGGCTCAGGGATTTTATGGGTATTTTTAGGATGAAAATGACACCTGGACTTAAATGTGGAACTTTGAAGGGTAAAGAAAGGTGATGGGTGTTTGGGGGAGCTGAAGCTCCTCTTCACTTGTGAAAATGAACTCCTCTGCCTCACTGCAAACTTTCCTGTCTCCTGCCCTTGTGTCCATGGTTGCAGCCATTCCCAGCCAGATCCTGCACAGTGCCAATGAGGTTTTGTGCACAACTGGGTGATTGGGATTGTTCACCTGAGCTGGCCTTTACCTTAACCAGTACCTCCCTGTCCTGCTGCAAAGATCACAAGAAGGTGCTATCAACATTCAGGTGAGGACAGGCTGAGCAGCAAGAAAAATGAAGCCATTGGATGCTGATGTATTTACAGCAGGTGTCTCATTCCACAGCCATTTCAATGCAGCGTGGCAGAGCTGGTTTATTTATGAAACCAGGAGCACATCGTATTTCCGAGAGGGTGACTGAGCACCTGTTTGCATTTTCCCTTTGAAGGAAAGATTTTCTTGGGATCTAAACTGCCGAAACACGCGAAAAAGGCAGGAAGCATGGGATGGGACTCGCTGCAGAGCCGCGGATGCTCAGGAGGGAGGCGGTACCTTGGTTGCAGAGGGGGCCGGAGAAGCCGGGCAGGCAGTCGCAGTGGCCGGACACGTGGTGACAGGGACCATTGCTGTGCACGCACTGGGGACACGGCTGGCTGCAGTGGTGGCCGTAAAACCCGGGCGGGCAAACTGAAAACAGAACAAACCAAGGCGTCAGAAGTTTTCCAAGGTTTTCTCATCACTCAGAGATCGAGAATTCTCTGTCTTAATCCCAAACCAATAGTTCTTCATTTATCAAGCACAATTTTGTGGGCAGCTGAAATGATGAAGCCTGTTGGATTGTTTCATGTCTAATAAAGTGCAGGTTCTGGGTAAAACTGCTCCTGTGTTCAAACATTCCCACCTTCCTTCCTTCCTCATGGAAGTCCTTGGCTATTTAATACCACAGCAGAGTTCTCAGCAGCCTCTCTCTCTCAGGACACTCATTTGAGTCTCTCTAACCTGAACACTTTGACAAAACAGGAGTTTAAGATGTTTGACACCTCACAGCAGATATAGTTAATAACACACATTCCAAATATTTTAGGATAGATAGGAAAAGAAACACTGGCATACAGGTACAAACAACAGAAACTGAGTCAAGAAATCAGAGAAGGTGTATTAGGAAACAAATACTACTGTGCCAAAAGCTGATTTCCAAACCTATCTGGTGCAATGCCTATGCTCAGCTGGGGCAGTCATTTTATACATTTCATGGGAGGAGCAACAGCCATCAGGTGATGAACAGAATCCAATAATGGCAATTATGTAACACCATACAAAATCACCTGATTTGAATCAGTAATCACATCAGATAGCTGAGTAAACTTGTAATGAATTGTGTGTGTATTTTGCCTAAAACCTGGATTGAAATTATTATGGAATTTGTACATCAGTTATAGAATCAGGATTATGGCTCAGTATCTCTCCTAAAAGCAGATTTTTGCTTCTAAGAACACGTAGAGTGAAAAAGCATCCACTGTCCAAACATTCACTGCAATAGATAACACAAAGAAATGTTAAATTGCAGTAAGTGACAGTAAAAATAACTTTATATGTTTTTATTTTTACTCCTGTTATTCTCTGTTCTATAGTTCTGGCTCAGTGGTTACTAAATCATGTCTGTTCTATTTTTCCAGCAAATGAGAATTTTCTCATGGACTGTATGTTCTCAGAGGGTGTCAGGCTCTTACCCCACTGCACATTTCCAGCTGGAGCTTAGCTGACAGGTTGGTTGATGATGCAGTAGCTATAAAACAACCTGGATCATTCCTGGAGACATTTCTGCAGGCTTAAGAGCACTAAACCATCCCAGTGTCTCATGTAATCCTGATTACACAGACAGAACAAGTTGGCTGAGTATCATCTTCAGTATCATTCTCAGCTCTGCCTTGTAATAAAACAGCCTAAATCCTGTTTCTAAATGAATTTCTAAGAGAAAAATGTGGATGATTTTGAGAACAAGCTTAGCAAGGTCTCCTGTTCACCAGGTATTCTTCAACCTGAATCCCAGAAAATAGCTGGAAGCAAGCTGGATTCCCAGGCCAAATACTCACAGAGGCAATAGCAGAAGCATGCACAGGATCCCTCTACTGTCACCCCAGTGGGGAGGAAAATGTCTCCTCATTAGATCCTTAGCAAACATCCTCAGGGAGCAGCCTGATTCCTGGGCTTGCAAACTGGGCACAAGGTTTGCTCTTGTAGCCTGCATGCCAACAGCTGATAGAACTAAGCTGGGGTTTTTTCATCTCAGAAAGGTCAGAAACTATTAACTTCTGGAAGTTTTGCACTCTTAAGGTTTCAAATTTGTAAAACATTTTCTTCCTCATCTCCCTGAAGCTCTGAGCTCCACATTTTAGCCTTGGACAGAGGTTTTACAGCTACACAGATATGCTGAAGCACCTGGAAATTGGGGTTTATAATGGAAATGCTTATAGGCCATTAACTGCAGCAGTGCTAGAGGTCATCGTTATAATGGCTTTAAATAAAAACTGTCAGCTACAAATTATTTTTAGAGATGAGTGTGTTCTAGTGTCAAGTGCAACTGGTGAAATCAAAGGGGATATATGAACTGGGCATGCAGAATATCTTACAGCAAGAAGAAGAAGAAATGCTGAGAAGAAAGACAAATCCACTTGTTTACACGGGAAGATGGTTGGTATGGTTTGGATCAGTGAATTAGGGTCCCTGTGGGGCAAATGCAGCTTCCCAGATAAAGCAAATGAGAGGATTTTTATCTGCTTGGTACATTTTAATATGTAGCAGCAGAGCATCAAACAGGAGCTATTTTGGGCTGCTGTGTTTCTTTTTCTGGCATACAAGAAAACATTGCCTTGTTATTTTGATGCCAATGCTCATCCACTTGTCATTATGTGATGGGTGGTGGCTGACTGTTTAACAGGTCTGACTTCACTGCAAATCTGTGTCCTGCCAGCTTTGGTTTGAAAAGGTGCTGCTCCTCCTTCCAGGTCACCTGTGACCTCCAGGTGTGATCAGAAGAAGAAACACAAGGCACAGCTCAGTGCAGGAGAGTTCTTGATGAAGGAGCATTTTCCAGGCTCTTTTGCCCTTAGGAAGTCATGAGCTAAAGCAGCTCAGAAACTGTGGATTTGTCTGTCTGGTGCCATAAAGGAGCATTTCCACCTGCCTTGCTCCTGCCAGCTATGGGAAATCTTACTTCTCTGGCACAAGGGCCCTCTGTATCCCGGTGCACAGTCACAGGTTCCATCCTCAGGGGAGCAGGATCCCCCGTTCTCACAGCTGCAGGAGATGGAGCAGTTGGGTCCCCAGCGGCCCTGGGTGCAGATGTTGTCACAGTGGATGCCTAAGGACACAAAGCCACATGTTAGGCTTCCCACAACTTTTACTCTGCTCATTGATCAAAGAAATTCTTGGTTGGACTGATGCCTCACAGTCCCTCAGAGCCAGCAAGGGAGTCTGGGAAGGAAACAGCTCCTCTTTTATCTGCTTAATAAAGTGAAAATTAAGAAAATGCCAGAGAGGTGAATTCTGTAGGTGTTGCTGGGTGCCTGTTCAGTCCTCAGCACCATGAAAGAAACTCTGCATGTCATCCAAGAGATGAAGGTCAGGAATTGCTTTAAAGTCACAAAATAGCTCAAATAACTGGTCTGGAAATAGGCAGTTGATTGAAGCCTGGTTACTTACCTGTTGTGAATTGGATGGCCATAAAAAGAAAAATCAGGATTTTGCAAAAACATGTTCAGTATTTGGATTATTGAACACAAGTAAATTAAACCCTATTTTGTGTTCTGTTCCCTTCCTGGCTTAAACCCCTGTGCTCTGGTGTTTTGTGCACATACCCCACATCCACCCAGAACTCCCCAGTTCTGTGTGAATGAACGGAGTTCTGATCCAGCAAGCGGCCATATGTGAGCACAGGCTGAGCATTTGCATGTTAAATGGGGACTGAGACCTGCCAATCCAGCTCCCAGTGCTTCCCAGGGTGCTTGTTTGATATTTATTTTTATGAAGAGCAAAGCTTGAAAACACTGAAAGGAACACACAGCCAGGAAACTTAACACAAGGCTTCTGGCATGGTTTCAACTGGCTTTGTTTAAACTGGTGACTTTTAAAAACAACCTGTGCCACGGCTTGTCATATATAAGTGTGATTGAAGGAGCTGATCCTGCACACTATGTCTGAGGGGCTCTCACTCCACAGGGATAAGGCAATACCAATATTAATAATACCTGCTATTAGCAGGGCCATTTGCATGATCAAGGACTCCTTGGATGGGTTTGCAGAATCATGAACTAAGAGGGACATTGAGCAGTGCCAGCTGCAGGGAGTGGCACTGGCAGGAGCATCTAAAAACAGCAGAAATGGATCAGAGACTGGCTTGGAAATTTTTCCTAGAACATGACCCCAGTGGGAGCCTGGCCCTGAGATTGGGGGGTACCCACACACCCCACTGGGCTTCCATCCCCAACCTGAGACATTCTTTACTATCTCTGACCAGAGATGTTCTTTACCATTCCAACCTGAGATGTTCTTTATCACCCATGCACATGTCCCACTGCACAATGGGATCAAAGCAGCCCAGGGGTTGGATTAGTGCAGCTCTCTGCAGAAACACAATCCCAATCATTTCCTCCACCTCTGATAACTTCATCTGGATGCTGGAGGTAATGCACTGCATTTGGGGAGCTGTGATCTGCACGGTCACCAAACTCTGAGCATTATTAAATCAGCTGAAAGTCATTATAAATACACTTACAGTGCAGTTTCAAGTTGGTTTTATAAATCTCTGAAGTTAACACAGTAAAAAATACTGCAGAGCCAAACTTTCCCTTTTCTGAAGATTAATCATACAATTATAATGTCCCTTCCTAGAAAATCTTAACCAAGTCTGGCAAAAGCACAGTTTGAAATGTGATTTCTAGTAACACATGTTCTTAGCTTTATTTATAAAGAGGCATGGACCATTCTGTACAGCTTAATAAAAACCACATTAAATACAGTAAAAACTTAATACAAGCTCAATTCCTTCATATCCAAGTAAATAAATCTGAAAAAAGGGCCTGTGAAAAGAGACAAGGATCATTTGTGTTAGTAAAATCAAGAAAAACTATTATTTTAAGAAACTATTTTAAAGTCTTCCCTGCTCCCTTTGAAATCAAATATATCCTTGGATTACTTAAACAAGTGCTTTGTATGTGCATTTATGTATTTTATCCACAGTGCACTGTAATTAAAAAGTTAGAAAATAAATTGTAAATAAATAAATAAATAAATGAATGTGTTTTGTGTTTATAAATACATATATATGAACATTTATAGGCTGGAGTCTCAGTGTGAGCTCCCTGAACTGAAATTCAGACACAAACACAGAAAAACGTGCATTTTTCCTCCCGAGTGCAGCATTAAAACTACAATTCTGTCATTGTGGATGGGCTATTTATAAACAGGGACAATTAAACAGCGTTATTTCTTGTCTCTTTTGACAAAGTTTGGGGAAGAATGACATTGACTCTTTTCTTGTGGAAGGTACCTGAATTTGAATGCCAGGGTTGTTCCTGCAGCAGCAAAGCCCTTCCTTTGGTAATGAGTAATGAGGGATGTCTTCCCTCTGCTAACGAAGGCAATGAGTCATTGTGGAGCTGATTGTGTAGCAAAAGGGAAAGGGGGAAAAGGAAACTTTCCAGAAGCCACTGGCACCCATTCCAGCCCTTATTTATTTGTACATTTCCAGAAGACAACCGAGATGGTGCCGCAATCAGGTTTTATTACTTTTTATTACTCCATGTTAATTCTCATGGAAGACTTCATTTTTGAAGGCTCCTACACGCATTGAATTGCAAATATAAATGAGAAGTTAAAATTGCATCTGGACATGCAAGTCTTATGGAATTGTGCTGGAAAAAGCACCTTAATTTTACAATTCCCTAGCCTGACAGCGTGTGAAGGGGGAGCCCATCCCTCCCAGCTACTTTACAGTCAGAGTCAGTGAAGCAGCAAGATTCTGTAATGTAAAACTTTAATATTTATTTAGGAACTTGCTGATGAACATTTCTGATAAGCAATTAGTTTTCAATTTCCAGAACTACAAAAAGCGCTGAAGTTGACACAGTTCTGTACTACCTCGTGTTACAACCACAGATCCCTAATTTATGAACAAAGTCCTGGTTTCACATGCATGGTGTAGAAATTAGAAAGACAACTATCAGAAATCCTTGAAGCTGCAGGAAGCAGTTCTATACATAAACTCTATTGCCTGGATACCAGGGAATTATCTGCCAGCCCGAGGCTGTGGTTCACAATTGCAGACACTGGTATAAAATTACACTTCCAAGACCTTTTTAGACAATGTTCTGGGGGTGAATTGTAAATGAAATCCACATAACTTATAAAATTGTAGTTATCCACTGGACATGGGCAAAAGATCTGCACTTTTGCAGTAAGGCAGAGCCCACTGTGGCTTTAATTCAGTCTGTGGAACAGCAGCCACAAACTCTCCATGGCCCAGCAGAGATTTGGGGTATTGGATTTCTGCAAGCACTGGCTGCTTTCCAGTGGGATTCCCTTTGGACTGCTCTGTACATGGCATTTAGCTGACAGTCCCAGGAGTGGCTTCACTCCCTTTTCCCCACACCAACCTCCTTTGCACACATGGAGAGAAGGAAAACCAGCCCCAAGGGCCTGAATTACTGTGGAAAACACAAACTGGGCTGAACTCAGCCCACCAGAACAGTCACAACTGCACTGTTCCAAGGGACAACCACATAGGATAGCTGCTCCAAACCCCTGCCCCTCCAGCACAATTTCCTACCAAGTGTCCGAGCAGCTGCTGGCTGGGACATGGGGAATATCTGGGGTAACTCAGCCCAGACTTCCCAAAGGTGAAGCCTTTGGTTGGGCAGGGATCTTCCAACATGGAGCTGCAGACAATCCTGATAAAGGAAAGCAGAAGGGAGAGAGGTAGAGGAGGAAGAGAATCCCAAAATCTCAGAATGGTTTGGGCCAGAAGAGACCATCCATAAAGCTCATCTTGTCCCACCCCCTGCCATGGGCAGGGACACCTTCCACTACCCCAGGCTGCTCCAAGCCCTGTCCAACCTGGTCTTGGACACTTCCAGGGATCCAGGGGCAGCCACAGCTGCTCTGGGCACCCTGTGCCAGGGCCTCACCATCCCCACAGGGAAGAATTCCTTCTCCATATCCCATCTAACCCTGCCCTCTGGCAGTAGGAATCTGTTGATAGAAACCTGTGTCTGTCTTACATGGAGCAGTTTCAAGTTTGACCAGATGAAGTCAGTCCTTTTATTCAAATTTACAAATCAACTGTGATGGATTAATCCAACATCCACACAAGCATCAGGAAAAGGAGCAAGACAAAGAAGAGGAAAAAACCCCTCAAGCCATACAACTGGAATGTGAGGCATCTATTGAAGAGCTCCTTCACAGGCTGCTTCTGTTAATAATCTTCAGTGGCTTCAAGAAAGTTTGTCAAAGTAATGCAGATTTAGTGCTGCCCATAACTACATCATGCTGAAGGACTTTGGAGGGTAAAATTCCTGAAAGCCAGTCACAAGCAGAACTCCCTTTTTTCCTTCTCCAGCTTCTGCAATTGCACTCCTGCTTGGGGATTACGTCTCTGGCTCTTAATAAAGCTGCCATTGTTTCTCTGCAGTGTCTCTGGATAGTTGGAAACTAATACTCCAAACACAATAAAAGAGCAAAAATGATGGAATAAATGAGAACCAGTGGCCTGGTTTTGACCACTGCTATCCCCCTGACAGTAGCCTCTACAGCAGTGCCTGCACACTGCCCAGCATCTAATTATTTTTCAGGGACGTAGGAATTTGATAAATTATAGGATGTAGCTCCCTCCCCCCCACATACTTTAATTTTACATCTACCAGTGTATAACTGTAATTATTTCTCTGAATAAGATCTTCAGCTTTTTTTTCCCCCTCAATAGTCCCAATCTAAAGACAGATGCAACATCAATTAGGAATGACAGGAACTATTTCAGCAGACATTTGAATCCAACACAAACATTGTGCTCTCCTCCACCTGTCTTTCAACATGACATGAAGTCATAATAATCTCTTATTTCTGGCATTTGAATAGCTTTGGAAAGTGCTTCTTTTTATGCAAAAAAAGGCACTGGATTTATGCAGGCAATGCTGAGGAGGCCTGAGGTTTGGTGAGTCACGCTTGGCTTTGATGTGGAATGCTGGTGGCTCGTGTCTGTGGCAGGATGGATCCCCAGTGGTGGTTGGTACCTGCTGACAGGGTACCCAGCCCAGCACACACCCTCCAGCTGGTGCTGCAGGGCTGGCTGGCTGGAGGGTGTGGGCA